CTTGTTGTCTCTGGCCACTTGGCCCGAACTCGTTGTTCATGCTCTTTTATTTGCCTTGATGGACACGTCTCGAAAAGTTGCCAGAACTTTCAACAGGCTGCGCAAAGAACGACCTCGATATTTAAAAAAAAAAAAATAAAATAGATAATTGACTGCAACTTTGCTGCCACCCAGTCGCATTCTGACTGAATGCGGGAATTATTCAACTGGCAATTTGATTTGATATTGACTGTGCAACGTACAAAGCGCAGCTGTCCAATGGCTGCAAATGGAGTTAAATAAATCGGGCAGCTGTATCCTGGCCATATCTAAAAACGCTTTTTGCTCGAATTTTGCATGTGTTGCTGTTGAACTTCTGCCAATTTTAGCTGAACGAATTTGGCACACAAAATGCATTTGCATCCAAGTGAACCTCATCGGAACAAATGCCAATCAACGATTGCAAATAATTAATTTTCTTTGTTTATGCCATGATTTCGGAATCGAAAGCTTATTGCATTTAAAATGCGCCAGTTAATTGTATTGATTATTTAACTTTGTTAGTTGTGCAGTCTGTTTGCTTTTTTCATTTATTTTCTAATTTTAGCTGTAACCAAATGCATTAATAAAATATTTGCTGAGCACGTACAAAAAGGGAAATGATAACCAGGAAATTATTAGATATTCCGCATTAAAAGTTATTGTTTTGTCGAAAAGAGGCGTTATAATAGCTTTGGACTTTGCAACGATATTAAATAACATTATTATATTCAAATTATTAAAATCATAAATATTTGGGATTTTTATAAGCCAAGCTTTTGCTGCGGCAGTAATAAAAGCAGCTGAACAAAAAATAGATTAAGAAATAATCAAATTATCAAGTAGAGTCATGTTGCATTAAATTTTCAAATTTAAGGTTTGGCATAAAAATGCTTGTCTGCCGTTTCCCTTTTCCATTTTCCCTTTTTTTTTCTCTTGTTGGTTTTTGTTATTGTTTCAACTGCCGCTGGCAGTTTTCATGGGGCTATTCGCCCGACCCTTCCGCGCATTTGCTGCCCATTTTATTGCTTCACTTTGCACGCGTTTTTTGCGCTACATTCTTGATGTTGCAAAAAAAGAAATTGTATATATTATAAAAAATGTTTGCAATAATTGTATATGGACGGGCTGAGGCACGCGCTTCGCTTGATATGCCTCAGGCAAATGCCGCCACTCAGCTGCTTGCCACGCCCCTTTTTTTTGCAAGTCCACGATTTCCATTTTAATGCCAATGTACAATAATTTACGCCATTTTATGAATGTAATGAAGCGGAATGTAAATAAGCAGAGGTAAATGAAAAAGCTGTGCAAAAAACTGCAACTCAAATTAAAAAAAAATGAGAAAAACTGGCTTAAAGTGTATAAAATATTTATTAAATTTCTGCATTTTTATTGTTTGTGTGTTTGCCTTTGTTGTTGTTTGTCTGCGTAATTGAGCTTCTGTGTGTTAAACCAGCACGTTTTAACAATTATCGCAATTGCAAATGGCTTTCAACTTGCTCCGGACCCAGCCGCATTCAGGTATTGCAGAGCTGAATCATTTACTAAAGTTAATTTCCCAACACCCCAAACATTATTAATTCTTGATTATTTAATCATCATCAGTCTCGTCAGCGCGAGAATGTGCAAAGTGACAAGCAAAAGGTCTCGGTTGAAAAAATGGACTTTACTTGACTGCGCTTATTTAATATGCATTAACAATGTGCCCCAGCTGGTATACCCTTGCAAAGGGTATGAAAGGTGTTTGTGAAAATGGCAACAATTAAGAAAGTGCTTACAATTTTTCATGAATATTCTCAATTTGCTTAAAGCCTAATAGCTGTAGAATATTACAATTTTACTCAATTGAATTGTTCTGTTTATTTGTACTTTATATGTTTAATTTAATGCCTTCCTGAACTAAAGAAATAACAGAGTATGTAAGTTGCTGCATTTTCCAGAAACACAGTTGACAGCTCTGTTTCGCCCTGTTTTACGTTGCAGCTGTCGTTCCCTGTTGCACCTCTCGGCCCCTGCAGCTGTCAAAGTCAGAGCCGTCTGTGTCTAGTGTCGGAACTCGGACGTGGGCCTGCCTACAAAAAAGCGCACTGTAATTGCAAAGGCGTTGCAAAAAAAAAGATGTGGCTGCTGCCTTTTTAAGTTGATTTTGATGTTTCTCGGGCACTTTTTTTGTTGTTGTTGGCCTACCTTACTTTCCACTTTTACCTGGACCTTTGCTGTTTGCTGTAGCTGTTGATCGTCACGTGCATGCTGCAATACAGCCAAACCACAATCCACATGCCAGTGCACACACACACACACACACGGACACTCTTCCAGATAATGGCACTGTCAGCAGCGCATTGAACAACATCAATCATACGCCGCGTTGTGCGCAGTATGTCGCCTCAAGGCACACAATAACTTGGAGCGTGCCTCTGCTGTGTTTGTTGGCACTGCCCTGACTTGACAACTGGCACCTTTGACACTCTTTTGAAATAGGATTGGCAGTGAGGCTTTCGGGCGTGTCCACTGTCCGCTGTCCGTTTGGCTGGTTGTCACTCACCGCCTCTGTTGGCCGCACAATGTGATTAATGAAGCTAAAATTGACCTTGATTTCAGTCGATGTCGCACACCCATATCTACGCACGGTTATTACATTTAAATATAGTTTGAAATAAGCATATTAATTAATTAATTAATTATGATTATGCCACTCCCGTCCATGGCCGGACAAATAACTGAAACTTACTTGCTACTTTACGAGTTTGCCGCTTGTTTTGAACAGTTTGTTGGGGTCTCAAGCAGGGTATACCTGCTACTATATGTACATATGCATATGTATATTCCTATATAGAGATTGGGTTCATTTAATTAAATAATTCAAATATAATTATATATAAATACTCATGCAATTAAATGCACCTCATAAAAAAATATATATTTTTAAATTAAATATATATACTTAGGTGGTGCTAGAAAGTAGTTCAGAAATTAATTTCTTGCAACTTTATTACAAAAACACACAAAAGAAAAGATATGTTTAAACTATGCGCTTTAGGGTATCGGTTAATCGAGCATCAACATTCTTGTGAATTTCTTTTTCGTTATTTGCCAAAGCGTAGTTACATTTTGTTTGGGTCGAATGCCTCGCAATCAAATTCATCAAGTTAATAAGTCGTAATAAGTCGTATTTGTGACGAGGGTAGTTTGCTTGGAGAGTAAGCTGATATCCATCAGCTGAGCAGGTCGGTTCACAAAAGTACGTTTCGTAGACATTTCTAATTATAACTGTGCAATTTCTAATTGCTTAGGGCAAACAAACGGCAACAAGGACAAAGGCAACAAAATAAATAGCCACATTGTCACAATTTGGACATGTATTGCTATTGCTGCACGGGGTCAGTCAAGGAAAGGCGCCCGAACGATCTGCTGTACTTGAACAACAACTGCGACGAGGTCCGCTGTTTGTGCCAGGCAAACAAATTATGCTCAAAATTTCAACAAGAAATGAGTTGAGTTACAGCGCAACGAAACTTGTACACACTCTCAATGAGATATAATAATGTAATAAGCCAATTACACTCCGAATTGGCCCCATTCCGTTGATAGACGCTTGCAATTCTCAACAAGTCAAAGGACGGCAAGTTGCTTGCAATCTCAGAGTCTTCTTAACTTATCGTTTTTGAGGACAAGCTGCATAATGAAACTGATATACTCTATATAACCTTTAGCTATTTTTACAGCTATGAAATTGTGTAACTCACGCACAAGACGAGAACTTTGAGTGTTTTGCTAGCGCTTACTATTTATTGTTGTATAGCATACTTTTTGGGGCGACCTGTCTGCTCCCCTTTGGAATTTCGCTGTGCGAATAGCATTGTCTGAAATATGCTTTATTTCTGGCACTGTTTGCTTCAGCCTTTGTGATTGTGAGTGCGCGCAGCAAAAACGAGTGCAGAATATTGTTGTTGTTCAGGCTCCGGGATCAGACTGTGTGTAGTTGTAATTAGAAAATCTCGTTGGGTCCATTAATAATGTGTCAGTTTTGAGTGGCAATCGGCCACGCGCATCGCTTGATTTATGTGAGCTGGCTAGAAGTCAGGATTGCCGCAAGGCGCATTTAATGTCCTGACATTTGATTACTCAATATTGGGGGAAATGGCAGCGGCTTTTGTCACTTCCTGTCTGACGACCCTTGGCTGGGCGACCCTTTTGCTTTGTATCTGGACTACTAATTGAGTAATTTATGCGTGTTTGTCGTTGCCATTTCCGTTATCCAAGATCCCAATTCCAGCCCCTCGCAAGCCCACTTGTGCGTCTGCCTTGCCTGGCTTCGGTTTTGGTTCTTGGGCCCAAAAGCCATTTGAGCCTCGCGGCACATTATCTAAGCAAACGTCGTTGACAATCTCAGCAGTCAGCTCATTTTTTTTTTTTGGCGGTCTTAGTGAGCCTGTCGTGGGCTGTCGTCCTGCGTCGCTGGCTGGCGCAGCAAATTCATGAGACGTGACAAGCAGCGGCAAGCATTCTGTGCGGCTTAGGCCTTGCTCTCAGTCTATTGCTCCTTTGGCTGTGTCTACCTTGATTGAAAAGCCAAAAGGCGCACGCGGCATTTTCCGGCTGCCGCCAGCGTGCTAAATTAATTTGACATTTCTGGCATTGTTGCGGCGAGAGCATCCAGTACCGCCGTTATCCGAGTCCTGATTTATGCAAAAGAGTTGACACTCCTGTGAGCTACAATGCTCCGGCAATTGTGGCCTGTTTTTGCTTATTAGCTGTGGCTTGGCATGGAATTCTACACAATTCGTGGCATAGTAAATATTGTTATTTTATGTTGGTTGGCTTAATATTGACTAGAATCCTATTTAGCTGTTGCTGTGTAAAACACTTCAAGTTTATAGCTCTTTTTAAACCCATGAATTTGTTTGAATGGCTTCAGCCAACTCAGACAAAGTAGTATATGTATTTTAACTATCCGCCCTTCACTCACAAAACGATTTGTATTTTATTTTGCCAAACCTTTTATTTTATTTCGATTCTTTCGTGTGCGATGCTATGCAAATTTTTATGCGTTGTCATTTGTATCATTAGCTCGTCCTTTTTTCAGTCCTTTTTTTCGATGTTATGCGCAAAACAAAGCGCTGACAATGTTGGGCTGAGCACGGGATTCGGACTTTGCCTGGACTTACTGATGCGTGGCGTGGCTTTATGCTTTGTTATGCATTCAAGTGATTTTTTAGTTGTTGTTTGGGGATCAGGCAACTGAAACAGAATACAAAAACAAGTAAAATGAAAAAAAATATACTTTAAACTTTTTTATTTTTGTTTTAAGAGCGACCAGGGGTATTGCGTGGGCCTCGAAAAGTCTATCAGCTTGGTCAGTTTTATGGCTATGCTGATTTTTAAGGCTCTTGAAAAATGGCAATAAAGCTGTTACCGAAACTCAAGCTTTTGGGCATGCGTTTTACTCTTCGCACAAATTGCAAACTGTGCCGAAAAACTCAGTTGCCATTCTGCAATTTCCTGTGGCGTGCACCTCCAAGAAAAACGATTGCATTTTCTAACTGATTCTATATATTTACCATGTATGTACGTAATTTCCTGTCCTGTATACTTTGCCTCCTGTCCATAATGTCCTGTTCAGTTTGCATTGTCATCGCCAGCCTTTTCGTTACGTTATTTTTTTAGCCACATCAGCAATTCACTTTTTTAATTTTTGTTTTCTTTCTTTTTAACTTTTTTAGTTGCAACAACAATGTTCACAATTGTGTGCACATTGATGCTGTAGAATGTTGTTTATTTTAAGAATTTTCAAGTTATACAATAATAACTTTTTTGCTAAGCGGAACATATATTACAATTCCTTTAAAATTCTCGCGAATTTTATAACTTGCTTCCCTCGTTACATTTTCTGGTTTTTGCTATTGTTTTAATACCCGTTAAATATATGTAACAGGCGGTTTTCTGTATGTGACAGGCACAAGGCGGCATCTCCGACCCTGTTATATACGTACAATGTTTAATTACGGCAGAGTTGCTTGAGTCATGTCTGCTACCATCGATCTCGGAAGACTTAAGATTTGGAGATTTCTTATTAAGTATTATCTTGTGTATAAACATAATTTTGTATGCATTATTTAATAGAGACCGGACTATTCCCATAAATAATAGGTGGCAAAAAGAAGAAGAAGCGCAGCCGCATCGTAGACTGTGCAGCAAGCGGCTTACTTACGTGTGTGTATGGTATCTCATAGTCGGGCACTTGTGCATTCTCATAAGTTCAGTCCATTTTTTCATGCTCTGTTCATGGCATGCTAATGACACTTCTTACGTAAGCAACTAGACAGAACAGAGTACAGTCAATGCAGAGATACGTAGTACTTAATACTGGTGGGCTATACAGAATTATATCCACTTCCTGTTATTTCTGTAGTGTGGGCTGTGCGTGTGTGTTGTGCGGTTGCTAATTAGAATGACAGGATGTGTGGAACAGCTATTGCGGTTAGTTCAATAAAAAGCGTTATTGCCTTGTGGTTTTTCCATTTGTGTCTGGAACAATTTTTAAGAAAATTACCTTTATAGACCTCCATTGACGTCAGGCTAAGAACGTGTGTGTTTTGTGTGTGTGTGTGTGCCCTGGTTTAAAAATGTCTTTGAAGTCGTTTTTTTTCTGATGCAGTTAGCGGGATGGTGAAAAGTGAAGCCTTTTGCCCAGCACTGGCCACTGAAAAGCAATTTTCAATATGCATCGAAACGCAATCAATCATTCAATATGCATAAAACACAACCCCCGCCGTGGCATAGCACACAACAAAGTGTTGTCAGTAGAGCAAAAAATTGAAAATACTCCTTCCGCTTTGGCTATTCGAGGGGGGTTTGGTCCATTGCGTCATAGGTTCGACAGTTGTCAGCCCGTTGACAGGTAAAGCGACGAGCAAATAATGAAGCGTAAGGCAACACGTGTGCACTCCTTGATGTATTCATAAGCCAGGAGCTGCTGTGCCTTCACCATAGCTGAGTATAGCTTGCATTTTGCACACGCTTCAGACCTCTAGCCAACGTTTTCAGTAGAACGTTTGGCACTTTACGTTTGGCCCTCTTGCACTTTCGCTCACTAACATTTTTCTCACTCTTTATACTTTTACCCACAATCTCCTTTTTAAAATTTATTTAATTTTCTCTTTTATGGGTTACTCTATGCTGTACTTAGCTCGCGCTTCTTTTCTGCAGTAATTACGTCAGTTCATGAAAATCGCATAGAAAGGCGACATGGACAAGCATGCATCATTGTATTTGATAACAATTTATATACTTTGCGTTCTTGCCCTCTGACTGACTTCCATTACTTACTTTAAATTCAAAGCTGTAAAGTAATTTCAATTAATTGGCTTGCTATAGTAATATTCTAAATCATTTTTGACACGTTGAAGAGCTTTTAAAATGTTTACATAATTTTAAAGGCCTTGCCGGTGGCAAAAAGATGTCAAATATTTGTTTGCAATTTAAATTCGTATTAAGTTGCTTGGATAACTTGTTTCCTTCTCCGTATTTCGCAGTCAATTTAATAGCTTATGAACGTGCCTAACACATGCCCCATTTCAATTTTAAACCATAAATCTACAACACATGCCGAGCTCTGGGTGCAAAAAGCAAAAGCAAACAAAAAACGGCAAACAAATCTAAAAACTACTTTTTGGAATTCGACGCGCTGCGGGCAAAGACCCTCCAGTTATTTACATAACAATTCTCCTCCCCAGGCTAGGAGCAAAGTGTGACGAGACAACGTGGCGTTTGCCCAAAAATCTGACTAATTTTCTATGGACTGGAATGTCTAATGAACTTCTCAAATTGTCACCGGCAGCTGTTTTGGGATAAAATACTTGGCTAACTAGACAAATTCACAAAGGTCTTTCGAGATAGCAACATTCCAAATGCTCAAAAATATTTAATTTAAGATTGAATTATGGGCTAAAATATAGAATGTTAAATTACAATAATTGAGTAATAAATGTAATAATTCAGGTGGGAATTAAGTTATAATTTAATCAATACTCCATTTAGTATATAATAAATTGAGCAAGTGTGATCGACTCGCGAGTCTCCGATTGGGAATTACCCTGCACTCTACAAAATATGTTCAAGAAAAGGGGCTAGGGACAATATCTATATTTATAGCTGTCGATAAATCGAACAGAGTTATTGAAATTTAAAAAACCTTAAATATATATACTATATCGGGTGTGAGGTGCTTGTTTGCACAATCATTCTTACTTTTTTTCCAGTCTCAGTCGATAGAGGGTATACAAATAATCATTTAATAAACTTTTGAAGTCAAATTAAATTATGCCAAGCTGATGATAGAAACAGATTCAAATTTGACGCTGTCCAAAATACCCAGGGAAAAGCAGATTCAATTGATTGGACCAGGCGCAGGAACACATCCCACACTGGGGCCTCTCGATCAGCTCGACCAAGTGTTCCATGTGTTGCCATCGATATTAAATTAAAGCGATAACAAATTGTAATTACAGGGCTTGGCGTGGAACTGCATGGACCACAGGTCGAAGTTAATGGAGTTTCGACCAGCGAAGCACTGCGACACATAAATAAACAAATTGACATAAATTAGTAAAGATTGAAAAGATTGCGTTCAGTAGCGACGATGAGCAGCACGGGGCTCCAGTTGCCTGTGGCCTGTGGCCTTTGTTGTCTTTGTTATAAATGTGACTTTCATGGCTGGGCACGTGTAAATCGTGTGTAAAGCTGGCTGTCTGCATTAAATACGCATGTACCATTGGCCATTCAGCTGTCTCCGTGTGTGGCATAAATTAAATGCTAAATGAGGTCAAGAAATAAATTTCAATTTGATTGCCCCAGAGACATGTGCTGCCGCCAGAGCAGCAACAAGTTGCCTGCACTTAAAAGACTCAAGCAGCTAGATTCGAGAAGAAATAAGATTTGTTTTATATACCCTGAATCTGTTGAATATGGGAAAGACGGGTATATTGCTTTCGTGAAAATGTATATCTCACTTTTTGGGCAACCCCTGCCATAGTCTTGGCTTTTGGTATCTACATAATATTGTATGCCAGACTTTAAATGATTGGAATATAGGCTAAAGACTATTTTTCCCCTAGATAGTGTATGCATGTATGTCTATTTAGAACGCTTTTAATGGCAACTTGAGGCTACTTTTGTTTTAACACAATAGGTTTTCATACACTGAGTCAATGAAGTCTGCTCTCATTAGCGAAGCTAATTCTCAGCCGCTTAGCCTTAATAATGTTCCATGCTTAAGTGAAGTGTTTGCCGCTGTTTGCAGTCGTCGGTCGCATTTGTAATGCGCTTTTCGGATTAACAGCAATTAGGCAAATGCTGAATTAATTGTGCCACGATGATGTCACATCATATGCACATCATATGAATACGTAATTGGAATTTGCGCAATAACATTTTGAGGCCTTATACGATATTGAAAATTGTGCTCGTGCTTTCATGTTCGCCTGGCAATTAAGTTCAAGCTGCCAGTCTGTGCTGGCATTTGACATTTGACAACAATCCCCACACACATGTACACCCATACGCATGTATATTTATATATATACTCACACTCACACACACACACACACACACGCATAAGACACAGATGCTAAGCCGCAGCAACCGGCTTGGCAATATTAGCGGTGATATGACAAACAGAGCAGTCGAAACCGTCGCAATGCAAACACCAAGTGGCCCGTTTGTGCAACCCAACATTAACATCGAGAGCAACCACTCAGAACCCAGTTATCTGAAGACAGTTGCGACTTGCAGATACCCTTTTAGAACAAGCACAACTTGACATGACAGTACACCAAAAGCAAACCAAATTTGTTAAGAAATGTAATCATCAAGGCAAAATAATGGTTTTTGATTGGGTTAACAGCTTAAACCAACTTCCTGCCCTTAGTTGCGGGTTATAAAGCTGTTTTTTTCAAAATTTAAATATGGCAAATTATATTTTTGATTAGGAATGCCCGCTGTACTGAAAATATTTCAAAACGTAAATATTTTCTGATACAATTTCCAAGCTAAGTTTAATATCTATCCACAAATTGCAACTACCACGCATGGTTAGATAAATGCTATGGCTAAGGCCCTAGATATTAATTCTTTTGTTCTGAGATTCATCAAGAATTGTTTAAATATTGAATTAACAAAATATGCTTAGGTAAGGCTATTTTTTTGTCAACTAGTTTGATTTAAGGCACGATTTAAATGATAAAAAACGAATTCCGTTCCGAGCTCAAATCGGTTCACTTTAAAACTGGCTTCCAACCTTGGTCATCATATAAACCAGCATATTTTATATTTATATGATATGTAGAATAACACATATTGCTCGCCAAGCTGTTGGCTACAGGGCATACAATAACAGCAAGAACACGCCATAATCCTTGCTGAGATGTCACCGCCAATGAGCATTATGCGCTTTTGTGGGTTTTTAAGTTTAATTAGTGAATGCTCCTTGACTGTTTGGGGGTCATGTAAGCGGGCTTTGTGCCGATAAAATTGCGTTTTCGATTCGGTTTTGAGGTTGGCAAGCGACTCAATCTGATGGTATGTATGTTGAGGTGTGGTTGGGAGTTGGGGGATATTTAGGTGCTGTAATTGCTGAAAGCTGGCTGACACTTCAAAAGTTGCCATCACAATTTGGTAGTAGGGTGTAGTATTGAGGGTTTTTAAAATGAGGTTTGCTGCATGGGTGGGCTAACATATAGAAATATATTTGTATGTGCATGTGCTACGCATGAGTTTTGTTAAAGAATGTGTGGCAGATGCTTTTCAAGTTTGAATTAAAATATATTTAAGTAGAACAACTTTGAGTTGGTCCAAATTAGGTCGTTATGCTTATTAGTAAATGTTTCTGTTTAATCATATGTTGAATGTTTTATTGAGAACGATCTAATTGACAGGTAAATCTTCAATGTTCAATGTCTTTTACGAATTAGGTTGCTTTATTCCAAAGGCAATTTGTGAGACACTTTGTGATTTAGTCTAAATTGCTGTCACACAATTATTGTCAATGCTCGATGCAGCTGCATCTGGATTCACCGGAAATCCATTAAATACTAATACTTTAACGCATGCTATACACTGCAATAGTTGTCAACTGGCAACTTTTGAGTTTTATGGCCAAGTCCTGGAAAATTCCAAACGTGTTTGTTGCGAAGTGGCAGAGCTTTACGCCATCTGCCAGAATCCATCAAGAATGCACATCCCGTGTTCACGGCAATCGGAATGCAGGCACACCCCAATGGCATACATATAAATTTATATATATATATATATATATCGTATCGTTTCGTATTTCGCCGTCTTCTTTATACACAATAGCGTACATTGGCTTGTATGCGTTCGTACGACCAAATAGAACTCATACGTCATGTTGGTTGCGACGAAAAATTGTTAATCGCACACAGATATAATCTAGTGCATCTGTATACGGGCACACAAAATCATCCATGTGCACATGAAACGCATTCAGCTGCATTTTTCTCGGCACTTTTTGTGGCACCAACAAATGTTATATGTCACAGTTTTACACCATTTTTTTCGTATATATAATTAAGTTTCTTAAAAATTGACAATATGTAAAGTGTAACTTACAACCTTTTGTTTATACAACGGCAATAAATTGAAAAAAAAAAAACAATTTTATATAACAATACAATTTTAACACAATATACAATTTGATTAGTTGCATAACAGAGAACTTAATAAAACATATTTGTACTCTTCATTGTGGTTAATGGTTTTTATTTTTGCTGCACGTTATATCAGAAAAAAACACAAAGCGATGTCACATTTTAATTGAAATGTTGCAACAGAAGTTTTTAATTAAAAATTAGATACATTTTAACTTTTATGTATGCGTTTCCGTATGTCTCTCCTCCGCCAAATTGTTTCCGGCTTTTTTTTTATTTTTAAATTATGCTCTGCTTTAATTCTCTAGGTTTTACTTTTGTCCATTAATAATGTGCTGCAGCAACGTTAATAAAATTGTGAGAGTAATTAATAAAATGGCCAAAGGCTGAGGCATGGCTGTATAGCTGAACGGTTGATTTATTTACATTTAAGCTGGCCTTAAATTGAACAGAGCAAACAGCAGGCAACTTCAAACGGACGCAACAGGAAGCGAACTTTAGTATTGGGCAATTGTTCGGTTTCTGAGTTGGGTCGATGAAAACTTTGGCAGTGACAATGCTTTTCCAACGCCAAAAGGTTTTTCGGGGCTGGTTTACAAAAACAAAAAAAAAAAATTGTTTCTCTTTGGCTGCACGGCTTAATTAGCACAAAAAGGCTGCAGACAGTTTCAGCAAAAAAGAAAACTCAAACAAATTGGTTTTAAATTTCAACATGAAATAGGTTTATCCTCCCAAAAAACCCGCTCTCAAGCCGTTCGACTTTGCCCAAGTCTGGGAAGCAAAAGTAATTATGCGCATAAAAGTAGGCAATGTTTTTTATTTGCCCAAGCAATGCATACGAACTTGTATACCCTGTATCACACAAATTGTTTGAAAAGGGTATGATTTTTACTGATGCAAAATAGCACCAACTTATTTAATTCCATTTTTTACTGAGAAATCTAAAGTAATATTAGACAGATAGATATTTATGATCATGATAGTTATATAGGGTATCTACTAATTATACATAGTCAACTTTGGCTTACTCACTTACTGGTTGTTGTCAGTTTTGCATTGAAAAGTCAATATTACAAAATTGAAATTTAAATTATTGAAGCGTTAAGTGGTACAGCAGCGGGAGGGTGGTGAGGTAACGACACAAAATGCAATAGTTGGCAGTCATTGCTATTTTTTGGTGACAGGTTAAAAGACAGGCGAAATATTTATAAATTTGTACAGGCAAATGCACTTATGGAATTTGTAGTTTCAATGTGGTACAATGGTTGCCGACTGTCTATGCTTGGTCACAAGTTAAATAATCAGATTCTGTTATGAGCGAATGATTGTGGCGAGAACTACATCGAGCTATGCATAAGATATATGTGCCAGCCAAAATAAGCTTGGTTATAAATCTTAATTTTAAAAATAAAATCTAAATATTAGTAACAGTGGAAAATTCATTAAAAATGGTTGCTTGTGAGTGTGTTAGTTATTAAAATACAAAAAAATGACTTCACGCCAATTGTTGCCGTTCTCTGCGATTCTCATAAATTCAGGTAGGACTTGCAGATCCTCATGCTTTGATTACAAGCATATAATTAACGTAATCTGTGCTCTTTTGTTCACTCTAATTAACTCTATTGTAGTCTTTTACTTTCTTTCTTTTTTCTGTCATGTTTTTATCCATTTTCTTTAACCCATTTTTACTCAATTCGTTCTGCTTTTTTCAGTGATGTGTTTATATCAATGTCAGTCTTCCTCCTACTCATAGATGGCAATTAAATAATTGAGAACACACATTCACATATACGCAATTGGCGGGTAAGTACTTATTTACATACTCATATAATAATAAAATAGGAATGTAAATAATGTATATATCCTTGTACCTATGTTAGTATATATATAACCAGACACTCTGCTCAATGCCTTTAATCAATACCTGGTAATCTTTGAATCTTATTGGTCTTCTCACCTGTTGTTTTGATGATGCAACAACAAGTCTTGTGATAAGATTGTTGAGAATTTCGTTGGTATTATTGTTGATATGTGTTCGTTGAGGTGTATGAAATTAAATTTTCGATTTATATGCAGTAGATAATAATCCACTTAGATGCCTAAGTGCATTAATTAACAACTTGTTACTTAAAGCTTTTTGTGCAATTTAATTGATCATTTTCTTGATGGCTTATTAAATAATCAACACTATTTTTTAAAAGTTTGTGCGTTGTTGCATAAAAGAGGTTTTTGTGGAATTGAATTTTCAATTAATGCATATTCATGGCTGAAATATTTTTTGTTGTTCGGCAGAACCATGCAAATCGCCAACAAAAGACGACACAAAGCGATATGGCAAAGAGACAGGGAAATGCGGAGCCATGGCGACAGGCACCAATGCCAGCACATTTCACACAAATATAAATATTTGCTTATGCCACATTGGGGCGACACAGAAACACAAACAGAGTGGGTAACTTGGGTGGCAGACAGATTCCCTTATGAGTCTTGCAAGCGAGAAGCGCATAGTGTAAGAGTAAGAGAAAGAGCGAGAGAGAGTGGAGCTGGTGAGAAATATTCGGGCCGCATTGCTAACGCTTTTCCCATAGACACCAATCGTAAATAAATATTTTGATTTATTGTCTACTTCAATATTTCCGCACAATTTATGCTCGGCGCCGCGCATTGTGAAGTCGCATAATTAATATGCTTACCCGGCGTATGCGTTATCTTTGCTTCGATTCAACTCTATGCTAGAAATGTAAATGCCCTTTCAAGTTCCGCCATACAGATTGGACTTTAAACTATGGTCTCTCAGCTTAATGGCCTCTATTTAAGTGTATAATAATACATTTAATGTGCTGAATGTAAAAAAGTTGTACTTTAATTGTTTACAACATTTGTAAACGCCTGACACGATATTAATTATAAATTAAAATAATTGATTCGACTCACTCTGTTTTTCACACGTAATATGGAATCATTATGTGATTATGCTTTCAAGAATTATTTATTAACATTCGAAGAAGGTTTTGAATTACTTAGCAATTTATCTGTTCTTAACAAGCAACAACTCGGTTTTTCATAAACTTAGAATTTAAGGAAAAACTTAAAAAAAAAACACAGATGGGTGTACTCTATTAAATGGCAGACATAGGAAATAATGATAGCAAAAACTCGGTTACGCTGAGAAAAACATTTGTAATCAATAAGACATTGACAAAGACATTTTATGCTAATAAGAGCAGCATTAATAATTGATTGGACACTAGCTCTTGATAATACTTAGTGCTGACTATTTTAGTATACTAAATGCTTAAGAAATGACGTGGATAGTTTTGATCGTATTCTTAGCACTCCTTGCTAGTCAGTATTACAATATTTCCTGACAAATATTATGATATTTAACAAATGAATTTGAACTTTTCATTAGCTAAGATACCGCCATGCTGTAAAACGAGATGCTTACTCGCTGCTTGCATGACGGTCAAAAAATAACCTAATTTTGATTTATTCGGGCTTACTTCCACCAAAACTTACGATTACACATATTATGTAAAACTGAGTAAAATGCAAGCAAACTGTTTATTGACTTCCTTCGAGCACGTGCAATCGTTAAATATATAATAAGTTATCAACCAATCTATAGTTTCACATTGTTTTAAGTGAACATGAAAGGGGTTAGCTTTCAATTGTACTTTAGGCATACCTAACGTAGTTTTAAATATTCTGTGTGGGAGAAAACTTTTTTCTCAGTTTTTCACATTTTGTAAAAGCAAAATACAAAAAGTCTTGCCGTCAATCAAGGGTATCGGTCGTTCATATCTATAGATCAAAAACCATTTTTTGAATTAAATGTCATGCGTCATGTTCTGTCAGAACAAAATCCGATAATAATAACTAGGTAAGATTTCAGCCTTTTCAAATGTGTTATGTAAACTTGTGTTTTTGTATAATGTGCATTTCTCACTTTATACTTTATCATTAAAAACGCCCGCAATTGATTGGAAGCACGCGCTCCTGATAACTAGAAATATTGCTGACTGTTTGATCCCCTAAACGCTAAATTTTGGATATAGCTGGTGTTTTTATTGTTAATACTTATAAAGAGTGTAAAACCAAATTAACTGTATTCTTGACTTCAATTTGATATTAAAAACTGGCATGCTGCAAGCCCGGATGCTTACTGCTCGGATCCTAGTGATGATAATGTGATGAATTAACCAGTTCACAGTATTATTTTACTCTATACTTACCCGTGGGCAGTCGTCCCTCATCGGCAGTGCTCAACGCAATGGCAAATTGGGCAGCATAATAGGTTATCATTATTTGTAGCCGTGGTGCGGGCAGTTTTACGTGCAATATATAGATCACTGCAGCGAGCGCATCGGATATGATAAACAGAGCAGCGCCTAAGGCAGCGAAGAAGGCCAGGAAACTCTTGACGTGCAGAGCACGTGCCAACGAACGCCAGAACATGATGGCAATCAGCGTACAATAGATGAACACACCGATTAAATGTGCAATATTCAAATGCCCGATCACGAAGTAGATCAAACTGATGGCCGGTATATAAATACAGACTCCAATTATAACCTTCAGCGGACGCCAGCCGAAAGCGCACATATAACAAATTTGTGTCACACCAAAGCAGGCCATGCCCAAGGCGAATAACAACAAATTCAACATGATATCACCAGCGCAGGAGAACATTAAGCCTATTAAAATCAATTGGGATTGTCTATAGTTCTTTTTGATCGAAAATCCCTTGATCGAAACATAAAACATCAATGCCATTATGGGCAAGCATCGCAGCGTAGTTGTCCATAGTGTCCACACTTGATCTTGACGCACCAACGAAAAATAAAGCACCAAACTTATATAAAACGGGACTAGCTTTAGGAATTCAATAGCGAAAAAACGCAGGTTGTAGTACATGATTATTATTTTCGCAGGAGCTCAAGAAAGCTGCCGTTTACAGAAAAAAGGAGTAAATTTAATAAAAGCAGTCATTGAATCATTCATAGTTTTAAAGAGAAAGGATTACCTCTCTAATTGGGCATTACGTAGTTATAAATCGTATCAAGAGTTTAGAAAATTTCAAATTTTGTATTACAATGGAGACTTTTTTTGTTTATTTTTTGCTAGTTCAAATTAATATGAAAATTCAAAATTGAAAAAGCACAGGCTCAGCATCAGAAAGATACATAAGGCATTAATCATGGCATGGTTAGTCAAAACCACGGCTAAACGCTTGAAAACCCCTAACCCCAACATCGCGACATTCTAAACGGCGTTAAGCTGAAATTGTAGGCAGGCTGATGAGAGAGTATATCATTCATTGGGCTGTCACACGAAATCTCAAAAATAACAAAAACTAGCCTACACTGTGAAAAAACATTGTACGTTTGAAGCGTGTTATGTAGTAGCATGCCTAACCTGATATACAGTTTAAACCAATTTCTAGCAATGAAAAGCAGCAATAATTGATTGGCCACACAAGCTCCATGCAGCAATAAAAGGGGCTGCTTCTTATAGTAAAAGCCAAACAATGAAGTGGATACTCTGGATCACATTTGTAGCACTAGCTGCGGAAAGTAAGCATTGGGGCTGTGCATTACATATATAACGTGCATTAACTAAATTAATGTATATTCTCGATTTTTAATTAGGAAGTGTGCCAGCATGTTGTAAAAATGGTTGCCTTTTACTTGAATGTGTAGATGTTACAAATTAAAATTGTAAATATTTTTATTTGGATTTAGTTGCATACTGAATTACTGAATAAATGCAATAGAAAGAAATTTTGAGCAAATTGCAAAGAATTTGTTAACTTAGAACATATGCAACCATTAACAATTTGTAAAACATGTATTAGCAAGCGGCCGAGTCCAATGTACAATTTCTTTATGATGCTCAAATGATTTTGAAAGCTTTTACCTCTCATTTGATGTGTTTTCGGCATAAGTTATTAATTTTGAAATTTGCTGTGTGACAGACAGCCAGAGCAAATCAAGTTTCCGATTTTGACAGCTGGGCTGATTGAGCCGAGCAGGTGAAATTAAAGAAGAAATAAAAGATGACATTGCATAAAATGCGATTGTTGATTACTCAAAGGATTTGATTTCCAAGTATTGACGGCTGCCTGGAGAGTTCATGAAATGTAGTTAAAGTGCTGTTGCTTACATTTCCGGCTTTCCGGCTTTAAGACTGCTTCAGCCCTCCTGTCCTTTGGCCTCTCTAGTCGAAAACCAAAAACCAGACAAAGCCCCAACTAACAAACTAACAACAAAAACCCACAAATATGCCGAAACGTTTGCGCATTCGACATGCCAGTTGCCCACAGTCGACAGTCGACAGTCGGCAATCAGACAGACTGAAATTGGAATGGGATTTGCTTAACATCCACCACTCCGCACCACTTCCCCCCAGCTAACCCTTGACAGGCGCTTCATTGTCGCTATCATTGTTGTCAAGCGAGTCTAAAAACCAAGTTCGCGTTGGGGGGGGGGGGGGGACAGCAGAAGGCTACAACTTTTACGCACGTTTCTCGCTCATATGTCAAATCTGGTACTCTTTTTTTTTTGGGGTATTTTTTCTTTTGTTTTGTATTGGATTTTGACATTTGGTTGGTGCCCAAAAATGTTTTTACATGATGAAGGGTTTCATTTGATTTGGTTGGTTTGCCATTTTTCTGGTTTCACCGCCTGTTACACTTGTTGTTCTTGTTGTTGGGCAGCTGAATGTTGATGTGTGTCTGTATGGGAGCACAGCGTCTGACTCCATGTAGTCACATGCACATTGCCGGGCAGAGCAAATGAAAAATCAACATTAAACATATGCTCTAGTTGAGTAAATCGCTTAAATTTCCATATGGCAATGGGTAAAAGGACTGCCTGCATAGAATAAAATGTGGGGCAACAATCGACGAGATGGCCAACTAAATAACTGAATGGGAAATGTAAATACTGAAACAATATATGTCTGACAATAAGTAAAGCTCTCTAGCTGAATGGGAATCTATTTATTTCACATTTTATACACTCTATTCAAGCTGTCACCCTGCTTCACATGCAGGCTGTTGGGCTGGATATCATCCAAATGCTATAAAGATATATAAATCTAATTGAATATTTCGCTAAATCTAGAATAAATTTAAAATTGTGAAGATATGAGTGCCAGACAATGTGTCCAATTCAAGGGTATTTAATAGTCGATACTCCAACTGTAATCAGTTTCTTTTTAGTTGTTATATATAAATACATTTGCAGCTTTTGGCTGCTGCATTTGCTTCAATCCAATTTCACTTAGAGCCAAAACGAAATGCTGCACAGCTGTTGCCACGGCTTATTCGTGCAACATCCCTAAGCGATCCCTTTGCATATTGCAGTAGTAGCTACAACCTGTAGATGGCTGAGAGGTGACTTTGGTTTTAAGAGCTTGCATATGCAAATGTCCTGGCACATTGAAATCAATTTCGCATGAAGGCAAAAAGTCAAATGGCGCCATATGAGATTCCACATGCAAACGCTTCAATGAGCGGCGGCTCCTTTTGCCAAAAGGTTAAATGAACCGGAAGTGTTTTATGCAGCAAAAGATGCAATTATTTATATGGCTACATCAACTGTGCGAGTGTGGGTCGGTATTTGCGTTTGTATGCCTGGGCGAATGGCAACAAACGTGCAGAGCTTTTGGCATTTGCATACAGAGCGCGCAAATATGAGAAGCCAAGTCAAATTCTCCATTTAGTGGATAGCTGCCACTTTAATACCCTTTACCCAGTTTCTGCAGCGGCCATATGTGCTCTGAGTAGACATTTTTATTCCATTAATAGCATAATGTTATATTTTATTAACTGCAGACAAGTATCGAGCATAAAAATTGAGTCTTAAATTAACATCTTCGAATTCTATTCAGGCTACATATTTATGATAGTCCAAAGTTTGACCCGGGGTAGCTGCTAGCTCAGCTCACTCAACTGGTGGACATTGAGTTGTTAATTCCACAATTTTGTTTTCTATGCGCGTCATGGTCTCCTGCTTCCTTCTCCATCGCCTCCATGCTCCGGGTGGAGCCGGTCTGCATTGCACTTAAGTGCTTTAGCGTTTTGTGTGGCATTGTGTTTGGTTGACAGAGCAGCTCAGCTAAAAGGCTGCCGGACAGACGTGTCAGCCTCCAGCTAAAAGTCATTAGTTGCAGTCAACGTAAACAGGACTCTGGACAACAGTTTCCTAGAGTGAGAAGACAGCAGTCCACTGCTGGTTGCCACTGTTGCCGCTGACAATGATTTCCGCTGTGGCATCTTTTCTGCAAAAAGCCTGTGCGCAGAATATGCGCTTGCAACTTAATTTGCTAATGTGCCACATGCAAGCAAATATGCAGCAAAGCTTTGAAAAGGACAACAATCAAATGCAGTGGGCAGCTGAAACATTTACAAAGTTAAATATTTGAAGAGCTAAAGGGAGCTCTTATTATATAACATTATACCCTTGTAGAGTGTATGATAAGTATATATTCTCCAGATGAGCATCAATAGCCAACTCTTGATATAGACAGGTCCGCCTGCCTGCCTGTCCGCCTGTCTTTTTCTTTGCTTGAAACTGGGCCGTCTTTCTGTTGCAGAAATCGTTAGGATTGGATCTCTATAGCTCTATAGCTATCATATATGTAAAATCGTATTAGCGCCAGAGCTCCACATCATATAGCTGCCATTTAATCGGATTCTTGTATGAAAAACCTTCTTCTTTTCGAATATAGCTCGATCAAACCACGTATTAACTAGTTGAACTAAGCTGATTATTATGTATGAGCCAAATCTGGTCAAGATCTCCCTACTATATATAAGCTTTATTAAATAGCTCGCCAGGAAGAATACCAAATGGGTAACTCGCAAACTATTGCATACTTCCCTCAACATTCTGCTGGTGTTTTTTTTGTTTTTTGATTTTGGTGCTTAAGCTTGCCGGTACTCGTGTACTTTACTGCTTTAACATATATAACATATGCATATATAACAATTGTGAAGTAATTAAACTAGTTATGCCACATGTTAGCTGATACATGTAGTCAAAGTTGTAATTGCAACATGACAGTCAGCCCAGCCCCCAGGCAAACTGTGCTCCTAAGCGGACAGCATGCAATTGACTATTGTCAATTGAAAAGTTGCACTACCCCTTGCCCCTGGGCTGTTAGATAGGTTTAAGCCATGGACTATGTTGCTTCACTTGCCACAACTTTTCTAATTTTCTGCTGCTGTGTTTGAGTGACATTTTACGCACCAAAACTTTTGTTTAGCGCAAGTTTAACAATGTTTTGCTCTTGTTTTTGTTTTAGTTGCTCTTATTGTTATTGTTGCTATTGTAACTCATTGTGGTTAAGTGGTTTAACGCGCTTTTCACACTTACGAAATAAGTAGTTCAGCAAAGTTCAGCGGTTGACTCGCTGTTTACATGTGGCACTTTGTTACTTGATAAAAATGTATTTTACCCACAAATTTTATCAATCTGTACTTTGGCTGCCTTTGAATGTGTCATTATCAACTAATAAATTGCATAACTTTTGTCTTTGACCACATTAGCGGGAGTTTTTAAAAAAAATTTCATATTTAATATATTATTTTATTTTCAAACAACTGTAATTAAAACCACAATAATAAAATGTTGAGCTGCAATTTAAAATTATTTTCAGATCAAACAGTGTTCAATACACAAAATTAAAAAAAAAAAAAACAAACAAATAAAAAACACTGTACAACAAATTTTTCTGCTCAAACATTTTAGTAAATAAAATAAGGAAATTATTTTAGCGAATTGTTTGGATTATCAAAGAATAAATCAGCTAACATTTTCCCAAATAAGAAATCGGGTTCTGTTCATTATAAGTTATCAAAATTTAAATTTAAAATTTTATATTTATAGTTGCCCGTTGTACTGAAAATATGACAAGCCGTAAATATTTTCAAACACAAGTTGCGGGCTAGATTTGAGATCTACTTAAATATTGCATCTACCAAGCTAACAATACTTGGAATCGTTAACAAGTTCTTTATTGTAACAACAAAAGCTTTGATTAATGGTTTCAAAAAAGTGGTTATCACATTTCAAGCCGCTTCGATTTAAGGCCTTTTTTATTGACTATGGGCACAGAAAGAATAGCATAATGAATTTATATTTCCTGCACTTTGCGTCTTATTTACATTTATTTTGTTGCGTGCTGTAACTCACTTGCGATGATAAATTTCGGTGGGCGCACAATGAACCCCTGCTGAACATGTTGCCTGAAGCACAACCGCATGAATTGCAACAAAATAAGTCAGAAGCAAATAGAGACACATATTTAAAAGCTTCAGTCATACACAGAAGCCTGCCACATAGTCGCACACATAATGGGTATTTGTGTCTACTAGTTATGGTCTAGTGCTTGTGCGAATGCGATGGATGTGGTCGTGTGTTGGCCAGAAACGCTTTGGCAGAATCAGCTGTGGAGTTGGCATTTTTTTTTTTTGTATTTGGGAGCAGGCAACCAAACCTCTTGGTATTGGGCAACCGAATAATGTAACCCCAAACCAACCGTCCGGAAAAAATGTATCCAGCAACAGTCACTTCTCACGAGTGCCACCACTCTTCACTGCACTCGGTCCTGTCTAACATATGATGCTGTTACGGTTTCCGGTCCAAGGGAAAATTTGTAATGTACTCAGTGGGGCAGAAGGCTCGGCGCCGGCTCCAGCTCCGGCTCGTAGCTGCGCTTCGGCACGGCACTGTGGTAGCCCCCACATGAGTTACGGCCGCACATTCGTAATGATTATGTTGCAGCTGCTGGCAGACAGGTAGTCGTAGCCTACCTGGACACACTACCACATACATGGGCAGCAATCCATTGTGGCAACAAAGAGAGGCAAACAGCAAGCAGCCTTTCAATTAGCAGCCAAAGTTGAGGTTCCCAAG